TTAATTACAATCAAGGAAATTTGAGGATGATCAGAGATCTTCAAAACAACCCCATTAATTTCAGGAAATTTGGTAGAGCTTTCAAGGAGTTCCGAGGAATTATGGAATATTCTGAAGTGCATTTCCGGAATGTTCCGAAAACTTCAGGGACATTGAGCGGTCTTCAGGGATATTTTATGAATATCAGGAAAATTGTTGGGAAACATTAGAATATGTAACGAACTTTAAGGAATACCGGAATTATCTATCTATCGAATTCTCCCAGAAGTTTATTTCGTCTTCCTCTGGAAGTTTCTCTATAATTCAAGTGGCGTCGCGTAACCTCATTTTTTACCTGTTCAACAACTTTGAAAACGTTATTTAGGGTCATGTTTACATTCAAATCAGTTTCAAAAGGCATAGGGTCTTCTAGTTTCACTGATTTGTATTCATTGGAACCAATATTGTTCGATTTGTTTACGTTATGAGAGTTGTTCAGCAGGTAGATTGAGGTTAGGGTGACGCTACTGCATAACTCATTCTCCGTAGAAAATGAAAAACTACAAGGGACAGCCCTATGAGGTTGTACGCAATGGTGACGTAGGACTACGTGGTCTTATATAATAAATGTTATTTGTTAACTGCAGCAGGAGTTTATTTTTTGTGAAGGAATATAAATTTGAGCGGGGTTCTCTCTGTTTCTACTCTTTTGTATGACACGATTGGCATAGATGGCCCAGAGCGACTCACAAAGAGCTACTGATTCCGATCAATAGCGGTGTGGCTTCTTCCTCCTTCTATGGATGCTCATGTGGGCTGCAGCTCACTGCTTGCAGGCAGCCTTTCGTTGTGAACTGGAGAACACAACCACTCACCACGCGGTGATTGAATAAACACCATTTGGTGAGACCGGATGGAATTCAACTTTGAAATCTGTGTTAGGGAAATCACTTTTCGCAGACAACCGGTGATAATTTTAATTATCATAGCAACAGTTGCGCATTCGTGCAATTTTGAAAAATGATAAAGTCTTAAATTCAACAGATGCGTAGAAATATTTTTAACCGATTGGTGATAAAATTATTGAAATTTGTTCAGGGGCAGCTGAGTTATTAACGTTCCAAATCTTTCATAATTTTGTTACATGTTCCATTTTCGGTTTTCACAAAGTGTGCCCCCATATAGAAATCACAGACGTAGTCTACGTCAAAATAGCTTTCTTATTATAAACCTGGAAATCTGTTAAAATTCTGGAAAACACTGGAAAACTCAGTGTCAGGAAAGTGTGTTAAGTGGACCCTACACGATTGCTTTTATTAACTACTAGCTGAGTGTGCCCGGCCTTGCTCGAGATTCAATATTAGCTTGAGTTTATGCGCCGATTCAACAAAAAAAAAATCATGCTATATTGTACGTAGCCCCCCCCCTCTCTTATATAAGGGGCTATCCCCTATGACCATCTCCTTATACCTCCACATGCCAAATTTGGTTCCAGTTGCTTGATTAGTTCTCGAGTTATGCAGAAATAAGTTTCATTTATATGGAAGCCCCCCTCCCCTCTTACAGAGGTAGGAGGGGTCTAGAACCGTCATAAGAACCTTTCCCTGCCTCAAAAACCCCTGCATACAAATTTTCACGCCGATCGGTTCAGTAGTTTCCGAGTCCTTAAGGGTCAGACAGGACAGACAGTAGAGACAGGACAGACAGTAGAGACAGGACAGATAGTAGAGACAGGACAGACAGTAGAGACAGGACAGACAGTAGAGACAGGACAGACAGTAGAGACAGGACAGACAGTAGAGACAGGACAGACAGTAGAGACAGGACAGACAGTAGAGACAGGACAGACAGTAGAGACAGGACAGACAGTAGAGACAGAACAAACAGTAGAGACAGGACAGATAGTAGAGACAGGACAGACAGTAGAGACAGGACAGACAGTAGAGACAGGACAGACAGGACAGACAGTAGAGACAGGACAGACAGTAGAGACAGAACAAACAGTAGAGACAGGACAGATAGTAGAGACAGGACAGACAGTAGAGACAGGACAGACAGTAGAGACAGGACAGACAGTAGAGACAGGACAGACAGTAGAAACAGAACAAACAGTAGAGACAGGACAGATAGTAGAGACAGGACAGACAGTAGAGACAGGACAGACAGTAGAGACAGGACAGACAGTAGAGACAGGACAGACAGTAGAGACAGAACAAACAGTAGAGACAGGACAGACAGTAGAGACAGGACAGACAGTAGAGACAGGACAGACAGTAGAGACAGACAGACAGGACAGACAGACAGGACAGACAGACAGGACAGACAGACAGGACAGACAGACAGGACAGACAGACAGGACAGACAGACAGGACAGACAGACAGGACAGACAGACAGGACAGACAGACAGGACAGACAGACAGGACAGACAGACAGGACAGACAGACAGGACAGACAGACAGGACAGACAGACAGGACAGACAGCTGGGTTTGATTCCCGGTTTGGTCTAGGAATTTTTCGGGTTGGAACATTTCTCGACTTCCCTGGGCATAGCGTGTGATGGTACTTGCCACACAATTATACTAAAGCTGGGTTTAGACTAGGCAAGTCAAATGATCAACTCAGTTGAATTCAATTGTCTTAAAAAGTTAAGCCTTGTTAAACTTTTTTCAATTCAAGTGAGTTGATCAAGTCAGTTGAATGGCATGGTTTACACGTTCAATTCGCGTTCAAGTCAGTTGAATTCAACTGACTTGATCAATTGACCTGCCCTGTCTAAAGCTGGGCCTTTTCAAGCCAATTGAATTCAACTGAGTTGATCAAATGACTTGCATAGTCTAAACCCAGCTTAAACCCAGCTTAATGCAAAAATGGTACCGGCATCGAAGGCTCTCAATTAATACTAAGTGTGGAAGTGCATCTAGAACACTAAGTTGAGAGCACGCAATAAGCTGCTAATATGCGATAAGCAATAAGTTTAAAAAGGAAAACAAAAAGAAGAAGAAGAAGGGATTCGCTTTATGAAAGAAATCAAAATTGTCCAGGTTCATATGTCATCCTTAAATTTATTTGCCTCAGTGTAGTGACCCCAAGGAATATGCGAAAGGGTGGGGTTGCCCTAAATTGCATTTCGCTACATTAGAAATATTGGTTCAGCTATGATTTACGAAAAATCGACGTTTTTTTTTTTTAATCTCATCGAGGGGACACCAAGGCTAAATCACGTTTTTAAGAGTTGGCCCCCCAGGATTCTAGACGAAGTGTTATTTTGGGCCCCCCTACTGCCCATGAACGGTTCAAAGAGGAGTCATCAACGTCACCATCAACCACGGTGGCAAAGATGACGGTGGTGGTGCCAAATGGCAACAGAACCCGATGCGGGCCGCAAACCATCAGGCCGCCACATTGCAGAGATGACGCATTATGGCCAGTTGAATTCGATTCGCGATCCCGCGCACTGTTTGTAATCGCGGTGCGCGAGCGAGTTTTGTCGCATCGATTTGACGACGACCGAGCGAGTGGCTGACTGACTGACTGACCGACCGACCACCGCCGCGACCAACCGTCGCACCCAGTTCTCTTCCTCCCTTTCGCGAGCGGGTGCACGAGGGTGTTATCTCCACACCACCAGTATTACGTTATTATATGGTACATGTGTGTATGGCATATACGGGAACCGCAACTTGACGTGACTTTCGTCTTAGAAGCAGTGGCCGCCCAGGATGATGGTGATGATGGCAACGTCGATGACGATGACGGTTTGAAAGGGTGCAGGTTTTCCCAGAAGTGATAGGCCACGTTCGCCCTTTTCGCGTGGCAGCAGATAGGCCAACTCCGAGGACTCAATGGGACTGCAGTAGCAGCAGGAGCTGGGTAAGAATGTTGTCAATCAACGACGAAAGATGTGGCTTTGTGGTCCATCGGAGGCCTCCGTGTGTCTCAGGCAAATTTGCTGCATACAAAAACAGTGCCACTCAATGCAAAACTTCTCGCCGTCATCCGCCACCAAAGCAAGTTGTTGTTTTGTTGTACGGTCAGCAACCGACCACCGTCACCTTGCAGTGCGGGTTTATTTTTGCCTGCCGTAGGGACGCTCAATTTTCAAATATTTATTGTGCTTATGTAATGCTATTGTGCATTTACGATCATCATCCATTTTTTATTCATTTGGACCAATTGGGAAATCTTGTACCTTTCGTAGAAGCATCCCTACGAATTAGTTTGAAGCGCGCCACAAGAGTCAAGATGCGAATTGAGGAAGTGCACACCTGCAGCACAAACGACGGTGAAAGATGCACGGTTTTTTTTTTGCAGAATGGAAGATGTGGAGACGCTTGATCCTATGCTTTCATGCCTAAGCGCGCTGCGGACACAGGTTTGCAAAGGTCAGAATGTTACCGCAAGTGATATTCCAGAAATGGTAATGTCAAATTCAAACTGTGTTGGTCGTCAAGCTTCGATAGCACAATTAACTGTATCTGAGAGTCGAAGAATCTTCACTTTTTGCTCAAATATGTCCACGGAACCCCAGTACTGAGGAATTCTATTACAAAACTTAAGAAGACTAACTATTCAGTGGCGTCGCCCTAACCTCAATCTACCTGTTCAACAACTCTCAAAACTTAAATACCCTGTGCCTTTTGAAACTGATTAGAATGTAAGCATGACCCTAAATAACATTTTCAAAGTCGCTGTTCAGGTAAAAAGTGAGGTTACGCGACGCCACTTTAACTATTAGAAGTCGTCTGAATAATTGAAGCTAATTGAAGGGTGAAACTGAACTCGGATTTCAAAAATTTCCCGATTTTCTAATGTATGTACTGCCTTTTTCAGCATTTTCTGAACAAAGTAGGAAACTTTTCGACAGTCTATGTTAATGGGACTGTTATGCCGCACAGGGCAGTGTCCATATTTTAGCTCAAGAACCTTTCCTGCTTCGCCATCAGAGCTCTACCCCAAATGTCCTTCATTCAACCGACTCAAACCACCTCCTCTTTCTTTCTTTTCCTCCCCCAATTGCAGCCGTTCCCGACATCAGCTACTTCCGCGGCAAAATGGAACACGACGAACTGGAAGAAGAGTACGACGAAGAGCAGCCATCGGAACTATACCTGAATGGGGATCTGTCGAACGGAGACAGCTACCCGCGCCATCCGAATCAGCACACCTACCAGCAGCAAACGCTAACGGCGGCACACATCGAGTTCCTCAAATCGATGACCGGCTTCCGGAAGAAGTGGACCCCGTTCGAGCTGCGCACCTGCATGGACATTCGGCGGATCATCGGCAGCAAGGAGTACGATTCGTTGCGCAAGAACGACGGCATGCCGCTGCCGAGTGCCAAAACGCTGCGAAAGTACAAACACACGGTCCACCTGGACGGGGTGGATGTGATGAGCCGCAAGAGGAACTACCGCGAAATGGTGGAAGGTCTAGTCACGAACGGTCACGGACCCGCCGGCACAAACGGCGAGGCGGTAAGCTACGGTGACGATGTGGATGATATCCTGAACGCCGAGGAACCCGATGGATACTTCGACATCAACAATCTGACCGAGCAGCAGATCGACTTCCTGCAATCGCTGTCCAGCAATACGAAAGGCTTCTCGGACTACGAGCTCCAGAAGACGCTAGAACTGAAGAACGAACTCGGCGGTAGCAACTACGAAATCCTAAGGAAACAAGAATGCCTCCACATTCCAACGCTGGTGATGCTGAAAAAGTACGAACAGGAGAACGGATTGGAAGACCTATCGGCGATGGTTGGCGCGGAGGACGTCGACGAAGAAGACGACCAGGAACCGGAACAGGAACCCGAGCAAGACTATGACCCCAAACTGCACGTTCCGGAGCAGTTTGGAGGGGACATGAATGGAACCGGGGATGATTCCCACATGGGAGTCTTCGAACATCATTCCATCTTTGATAAAGACGACCCAGCGGCATTCGATATGAGCAAACTCTCGCAGCAGCATATCGAATTCCTCAACACACTGCCCGAGAACCCGAAACGATGGACGCAGCATATGATAAATTCGGCGTTAAGCATCAAGAACGAAATCGGCACCCGGGACTACGAGCTGCTCCGGAGACAGGGCATTCCACTGCCGGCGGCACGAACCCTCCGAAGGCACAAAGACATCAAGAGTCGAGTCAAGGAGGAATTTACCGATATGGGTTAAGACTAGGGCGTAAGTTTGTTAGTGAGGTACCTGTATTATAGCGTTTTAGATGAGTGAGAGTAGGGTCTCGTAATCGTTTGTAAATACCTAACCTGACACGAGGTTCAAGTTGTCGTGAAAATAAATGGCGCCAAAAATTTAAGAGAGAAAAATGTCGAGCTAGTTAAAACTTTTTTTTTTTTTAAACTTAAAACTATTGGATAAGAATGATTTCGTTTGTGTAGCGATCGAATGAAAACAGTTCCATTGAACAGCACAGCGTGCGCAGTTTCTGGATGTGTATCACGTGGGGGAATGTTTTGTTTTTTCGGGATTCTTGTATATTTTTAGGGATAAGTCACATTAAGGTGTAAAATACTTATAAACAGGAGAAATAAACAAAAGTTTCATTCGATTTGTGGCTTGGTTTCTGCGGAAAAGAAATTGTAGAAAGGTAAAATACTGTCGTTTTTAGGGATATTCTCCGAAGCGTGCATTTACACATGTTTTATAGCACCGGTTTGTGTCTTCGTTTGATATGCGCTATAATTATAGCAAATGAATGCATTGGAAATGAGAACTAGTCGAGTTTACTCGACCTAGCAGCTAGTAGCAGAAACTGTAGTGAAGACTGAAAACGAATCTACTCACAGAGCGAGTTACTTTTACTCATTCGTATGCACGCTAAGATCAGTTTACCTAGACGGTACAAAGAGATTACCGAGATTGGCCGTAAATTGCACAAACTCACATATGGGTAAAATTTTTTAACCCAAATATGGGTTCTTGTGAACCATAAATGATTTATTTTTATGCAAATTTGATTTAAATTTACCCATATTTGGGTTAAAAAATTTACCTATATCTGAGTTCGTGCAGTTTACGCCAGATTTGGGTTATCTGATCTTAGCGTGTGGATAAAAATACCCAGTAGCCAATTCGCTTTTACATACTTACATACTTTTGTCTCCTATTCTCCTTCTAAAGGTATCAAAAACGGAGGAGCAAAACCACCGAGCAAGGGTAGTAAAGTGTGAGAACCCAAAGTTGTGTATCATATTTACCTACTTTTGGGTACAACTAACATACTTTTGGGTAGAAAGCGAGTGGAAAATTCCATACGAATTGCACACAAGTAAATTAAAAATACTTTGACCTGCTTCACCTACTTTTGGCTTCCTACGCCTTAGTGCCGAGATGAGAGAACATAATTTACTTTTCGGTACTGTTTTTCTTACCGTGTAGGTTACTCATACGCTGAGTGACTTACGCTCTTAGAAATTTCTCCATACGAATGAGAACGAGTTACTCATAACTGAGTAAAAGTGACTCATTATCTGAGTTGGTTTCGTTTTCAGTGCACCGCACAGTGGAGTGCTTTGGAGTAAAAACTCACAGAAATTCAAGCTGAACATTGCATTAGGTGCTAAGTAACATTGACAGACTCATATCGTCAACTTTCTCTTTGTATCTCCACGGCCATGTAAAGACATTCCCAGGTATTTTCAGCACATAGATCGATAAAAGAAGGTTTTATCTAGCATCTAATACGACAAACACAACAAAAAACGGTTATGTGCTTAAGTTATTAACTAAAGAGCAAGTCGCCGAAGAGAACCGATTAATGTTACTTAGGACCTAATGCAATGTTCAGCTTGAATAATGCATTAAAGAGTTGTGTCCTATACGCCTTTTTAATGCACCACCAACGCGATGTGCGGTAACAAAGGTGAGGAGAAAGGAAACTAGTGGACTCTTTCATTCTGACGAAGTTCTTATGCAACAGCAGACGTGACGTCACGTCTGTTGCTGCGTAAGAAGACGCGAGAACGAAAGAGTCCACTAGTTTCCTTTCTCCTCACCTCTTATACCGCACATCGCCACCAACGTAGTGCGCCACGCGAGTTCGAAAAGAAACGTCAACCAAACCGTTTGTTTACATCAAAATAAGTATTTTCCCCAACGCAAATAACAGCATTTTTCATTCAAAATCTTGCCAATTTCCATCGGTAATTGTCTTATTGTACGATTTTCCACAAATCTGCACTGATTTGCAGCTTAACTATTCACACACAAGAAATCCGGAAGATCATAACCACTAAGGCACTTTTCTAATTTTCCATTTTTTTTCATCAAAAATATTCCTGAACACCAGCAGGATCTTTTCAAAAACGTTATAGAATTAAATTTTTCAACTGTAGAATAAGTTTTGCAGCATCTCAGATGAATCGATTTATCAGGAAAAGTAAAAAAGTGTTCCGCTTCCTATGTCACAAGGCAAAAATTTATGCTCACAACACTCTTTTTGACGTTCTCCTATTCACCACCAGAGGTTGAATCGATCGTTTAGTTTCTATTAAAAAGGCCTATAGAATTTTCTTAGAAGCATGTGCCATCATCCACCAGATGGGTTAGTATTTTTGTTTTGATTTGAACAAAGTTGATTTTGTGTGCAGTGATCTTTGACAGTGTGCAAAGAGTGTAGCCACTTTTTCTATTGAGAGAAATATAAGAGCGGAGCGAACTGGTTGGTTTTGAGTCAAACGAACTGCCAAAGCCAGAGCCAAACGACTCTACACACGTACACAGGTATTTCGTATATAAACGAGCATATGAAATTCCATACCATACGACAAATTTTGGAATACGCCTTTTTAATGCACCACCAACGTAGAGTGCGCCACGTGAGTTCGAGAAGAAACGTCAACCAAACCGTTTGTTTACATCAGAATAAGTATTTTCCCCAACGCAAATAACAGCATTTATCATTCAAAATCTTGCCAATTTCCATCGGTAATTGTCTTATTGTACGATTTTCCACAAATCTGAACTGATTTGCACCTTAACTATTCACACACAAGAAATCCGGAAGATCGTAACTACTAAGGCACTTCTCTAATTTTCCATTTTTCTCGACAAAAATATTCCTGAACACCAGCAGGATCTTTTCAAAAACGTTACAGAATTAAATTTTTCAACTGTAGATTAAGTTTTGCAGCATCTCAGATGAATCAATTTATCAGGAAAAGTAAAAAAGTGTTCCGCTTCCTATGTATCAAGGCAAAAATTTACGCTCACAACACTCTTTTTGACGTTCTCCTATTCACCACCAGAGGTTGAATCGATCGTTTAGTTTCTATTAAAAAGGCCTATAGAATTTTCTTAGAAGCATGTGCCATCATCCACCAGATGGGTTAGTATTTTTGTTTTGATTTGAACAAAGTTGATTTTGTGTGCAGTGATATTTGACAGTGTGCAAAGAGTGTAGCCACTTTTTCTATTGAGAGAAATATAAGAGCGGAGCGAACTGGTTGGTTTTGAGTCAAACGAACTGCCAAAGCCAGAGCCAAACGACTCTACACACGTACACAGGTATTTCGTATATAAACGAGCATATGAAATTCCATACCATACGACAAATTTTGGAATATTCAAGTCCAAATACAGTTGTTAATTTCACCAGTGTGTCTATTGGCAAATCAAAGTTGGTACTCGTGGAGAATAGAAGAACTATGAGAGTGATGATGGTTTCATTATTTTACACGGTGAGGTATACGAGTGCAATCTTGAAATGCTTTTATTTTACAAATGGAGCATTTTATTTAAATCTGGTTGATGCTATGATAGTAGAAAACTTAAAGACTACTCAATAGACAAATAATACAGAAACATTAATTTCTTTTCAGATTTTTAGGTGTACACATAGATTTCAGCTTTTCTACAACTGTAGCAGCAACCAGATTTAAATAAAATGCTCCATTTGCAAAATAAAAGCATTTTAAGATTGCACTCGTATACTTCCCCGTGGAAAATTTTGTAACCATCATCACTTTTATAGTTCTTCTATTCTCCACGAGTGCC